TCGGAAGCCCATAAGAAGAGAGGAGGCAGGCTTCGGACAGGCCACAGAGAGGCCGCAAGAGGCCTGCCGGCTGCCGAGAAGCTTCGGACAGGCCACAGAGAGGCCGCAAGAGGCCGAAAAGCTTTTGAAGGCGGTCCAAAATGCCTAAACGTCGCCTTCGGAAGGAAGCCCATAAGAAGAGAGGAGGCAGGCTTCGGACAGGCCACAGAGAGGCCGCAACAGGCCGGCCAGCTGGTGAGGCCTCGGACAGGCCTTTGGAAGTGCTTGGAAGGGTTCTGCTAGGCTTGGCCAACTGCTGCATCCTGCGCCTTTGGAAGTGCTTGAAGGGTTCTGCTAGGCTTGGCCAACTGCTTCACCCTGCGGTGTCCCAGGCGCCTCCCCGCCTAGGCTTTGGCTATAGGCCGGGGTCGGCGGATATATCTCACAGCAGGCTGCAGAACTTGGACCTCACTCCAGGTCCTTCCTTAATCTTCGCTGCGCCCACTGAGGTGGTGTCAGCATTCAGCAGGTGAAGGCGGAGGTCGCAGTCTTCACTGCTGCAGATTTCGGCATTGAGGAGTAAAAGTCAAGTGAGTTGTGGCCAGTGGTGAGGGGAAAGTGTGGCTCAGGTGTCTTGTGGCCATCATTTGAGGTGCTTTTTGTGTTTCTTTCCTGCACCCGAAGTCGCAAGAAGGTTGCTTGTGAAGTTTCTTCTTGCAAATCTGCAAATCGCTGCAGGAGAGGCCCACCATGGGTGATCCAGAGTTGAGGAGACGAGTCCAAGAGGAGGTGGGAACGTCTCACCGGCACCTTGGATGATCAGGTGAGGCTGTTGCGGTTGGACGCTGTAGGCCTCCACCAAGGAGGCCTTACAAGAAGCCTACTGACGCTGGATAACTTTGGAGGTCAGGGGCTTGTGTGAGTTTCCTGGACGGCTCTTTTCTAGGCCTTGCTCGGCCACAATTGCAAGACCATGGACCCATGCCTGAGCAACTCCTCGCCGTTCGAGGCATGGCGAATGTGAAGGCCTTCTTCAAAGAACTGTCACGTACGGTGGCCTTTGTGGAGCGTGGGGGCGATCCAAGGGTCCTGCAAACAAGCCTCAACCTGCGCCTGACTGGGAACCCTGGGATGCTTTGATGAGTTTCAGCAGCGTTTTTCGAGGAATAGCGGGCTGAGTAGTTTAAAGATTTTGAAACTACACCCGCAAAGACATAGCTCACCTAGCATGCCAGGGCTACGGCTCGCGACCGCCGATCGTGACCGCCGACCGCGCGCCGTCGGTGGTTGTACCGCTTCTCTGAGGACAGGCAAAACCACTGTGGCACGGCTCATTGGGCGCTACCTTTATGCTCATGGTGTTTTGCCCCGTGACACCTTCGTGGAGCGCAATGCCTTGGCACTGAAAGGTGGGGCAGAGCAGCATGCAGATGCAACATGGTGGTAGTTGCAGGTGTTGGGCTGACCGGCGGGCAGTGTTGTAGTAGCAGTGGCTGGCCAAGAGCGAAATGCTCAGATCGCAGAACACCGCCCGACTGTTGGTCCACTGGCAAGCGACGAAGCTTCATGCGGGGGAGCGGTTCGTGTCATTGACAGTCAATTGCGATAGCTTCGTTCCTGTGCTCAGTTTATGCTTCAGTGCTGAGGCACTGAGACACACATGTATAACAATGATTAGAAGTTCATGGCTAGCCTGCTACCCATCCTGATCGGGGTTTTGGAAACTCACCAATTACAGAACAGCAAGCTAGATTTTGACCCGTCTCTTTTTACGCAGATGGCCCACTGGCAGACGGCCATGAAAGTGTGAAAGCATCCAGAAGATTCACATTAGTCGTGAATTGCCAGGCCAGTTTGTGGGCCAAACGGCGCCGACTGTTGCAGAGGCAGTCCGTGACTCGCCAGATGTTACAGGAAGTCAAGCCAGATACTACGTGCAACCCAACTGTGACCATCCTCGTTTCTGGCCGAAACTTTATATGCCGATTTGATGCGGACACTTGTGCGACCCAACTCGGGCCAAGTGAGGAGGGGCCAGGTTCGGTTCGTGTTTGACACGTCGAAAGTTCTGTTCTTAAAGTTTACTTCTTGAGAATCTCTCAGGTTTCTCCTTGCACCAGGCGTCCTGAAGGAATCCACATTTTTTCTTTGATTGGCCAGGTCAGTCTATTGCGGAGTTGGTTGTTGATGTTGTTGCAGATGCTGCGAGGTACATTACTTGCCCTTCCAACTGGCAGACATAAAAGCCCCAAGAGTGTCCAACACGGTTCCTACATTCTCCTACCTTGTCAGTTGTTTCGGTGGCGTGACCGTTTAGTGCCTCACATCAGTCTATTGCCTGGCAACCTTTTGCTTAGGCGATGCAATGGGTGGCTGTCTTTTCATCGATGAGGCGCACATGGGCGGCCTTGGATTGGACCACCTCAACGGAGTGCAGCCTGAAAATCCTGTTGTGTTTGGCTTGGGTTTAGGGGCCGATTTTTGGCAGAAACGGCAAGGATGGATGAAGTGCCAGCGCAACATTCCTCACCCAAATTCCAAGACATCCTCCAACATGTTCGGACAAAAACAGCGTCCAATGCCCGTTTTGCGCAGAGCGCCTGTTCCAGGTGCAGGGACGGACCTTGATGTCTCCGGTGACCATCGACCCAAGTGAAACCACCGTCCACCTGGCCGACCAAAGGCCTATGCCTTGGCCGACCGTGGGGGTGACAAGTTCAGCGGAGAGGTGATCCGCACGCTGCTCACGGAGGCTCACGGGAGTCGTGAGCGCGAACCTTTCGAACCTGTCTTTTTACGCTGGAAAACACCTCATACACCTCATGTCAAGAAGTTCATGTGGAAATAAATTTCCAAGTTGGAATCAAGAGTTTTGAGGCCAGCTAGTAAGATTCAGGGGGATTTGTGATTGATAGTGAGCCAATACTAGCAAAAACCCCAAAGGTGAGTCGAGAACAAATCAGCACTGATGGCTTGCGCAGGTGGAAAATCACCGAACTGGGCTTCTGGCGTTTGAGCTGAACTGGCGACAGATCTCGATGGCAAAACGACAAACCAACCGCTCACCTGCCTGCACCTCCACATATTTGGCGGTGTTTCTTCAACTGATCTGCAGAGTAGCCATGCTTAAACTACAATTGATAGCTGAAAACACCAATTTGCAACTCCAGTACTTAGGATATGTGACGCTGTCCACACTTCCAACATGCCACCTGCTTCAATCACCTCCAGATCTATCCAAGGGGAGGTCAAGTAAGATGCCAGGCTGGCAGAGAGGCTGGACGCCCAAAACCACCGCTGCGCTGCCGAGGTGGTCTTGGCTGGCTATGCAGACAAGATGGATGCTCGGAGCCCAGATGGATGCTGGGAGCCCTCTGCGCCGTGTAGCCAGAGCCAAGTAGGGTATCTGCGCAAATGAACGCGTATAGACCGTCACCCAAAAAAGGGGAACCGCCACCGATGGGTACCCACCTGTTTTTTCCTAAAAAATGGTTTTCGATGAATACGCACCAGAAGCTTTGGGGGCGATGGCTGAGGTGCTGATGGATGCAGACCCGGGACTCCGGCGTCGCTTCTCCCTGGTGCTGCAGCTGGAGGATTACAGTCCTGAGGAGTTGGCGGAAATTTGTGATTTGGTGCATTCCTGATATCACTCTTTAGTAACTCTAGTGTCGACCAGGTCAAACACGTCTTTGGTACTGTATATGTCAGTCCTTGCTGGTATTTGTCCTTACAATGGACCCCTTGGAAGGCTGATTGTGCCAGCAGGGCAGCACGATCCAAAATTATGTAATTGAGCTTCTCCACAGTTTGGCATGGACGATGCCACAGAGGGTGCTCTGATGGGAGGTAGTTCATGCACAAGTACGGTTCTGTATTCTAGAGATCGTCCGCTTGTGCCCTGTACTTCGAAAAAAGAGCAAGAGTCAACATTTGTGGCCATGCTCATCTGATCTGAGGTGAGCACGCGGCGCAAGACCGCTTCAACTTGACCTTTGCACCAGGCTTAACTGAGGCCCTGGCCCAGCATATCTCTATGCAGCATGGCCAAGAGATTGCGCAGCACAATGGAGGCCGCAGCAACTGCATCGCCCGTTGACACACCGTTCTCCTGTCAATTCGCAGAATATGGAAGTTTGGCCTGCAGATTAGTTCCTTATTCAGGCCGCCTTGTTGTCATTTTGGAGGCTCGTGTCAAAAACCTAACACCCCAATGGACAATGGCATTGGTTGACCAGGTCTTTGCCAAGAAAGAGCTTGGCAGGGGTGGGAGTGGGAGGCGTATTTTTTGGCCGACGGAAGGCCTGGCAGTGACACTGGCTGAGCGTGCCTTCCGGCGCTTGGCCACACGACTGGGCGACCCACAGAGCCAGCAAGCGGTGAGTGGTCTTCAATGCAGACAATTGCTCCTTGACTGATGTGTGACGAAATCTTTTGACCTTTGTCCTAGGGACACATGCGAGTCCGAATCCTCTGCAGAGCCTGGCCTCAATCCAAGGATTGCTGAAGACTTTCTGATTGGTCTTCCCCCTGAGGGCGTGCGGAATAGCAAGCCTGAACCTAGCTCTCCAGGCAGTGCGCATAAGGATGCCGTGCCTGTGACATGTGCAGACGCATGGTGGCATACCCTCTTCACTCTGTGCACATGGAACTCCACTCCAATTCCTTGCCAACCCTGCTGTGATTTGAGGATGGGCAAAAGGGAAGAAAAACACAATCCAAGAACCATGCCGGTGATGTGATTTGATGTTGTGAGTTGTCATGATGTGATTTGCTTGCCACAATTCACCCTGCCTCCTATACCTTGCTCCGTCTTGCAGGTGCCAAGGAGACAGGCCGTGCGCGGCCACCGAAGCGGACCCGCCCACCGTGGCAAGAGGCTGGGTGCTGGGTGACATTGCTGGACTGCTGGACTGAGCCGTGGGATGGCATAACCAGGGCAAATGCGAACCCTCAAAACACATTGTCAACATGCATCTCGAGGCAAAAGATGTCAGGGTTTTCCCAGATCAGATGAGGGTGAGAGACCTGAGTCACTGTACAGGCGCAGACTAGTGCAGCGTGGGATTGGAACAGTGGAGGCTAAACACGAAACGATTCTTTTGGGTGTGTATTCTATTAGGACCAGGAGCAAGGACGCTACTAGGGGTGCTCCTGGCCTTACTACTAGTAAAATTAAGCCACTAAGAACAAAGGGCATCGCTATTAGTAGCAAGAAGCTACTAGGGGCGCTCCTAGCATCAAGGCAACTCACGCAGGCAGCCTTGATACCTTTGTGGGCAACCAGGTCGCTGCATAGATACGCAATAAAGTGGTCCCCAAATAGATGGAAACGCATTCCAATACGTCCTTAGTGGGGGATCTACTTTCATATCTATTTGGGGACCACTATACATACAATCATATTCACACACATATAGGCTATATAGGTAATTATGCATACATATACAGTACATATATTTTTTGGTGTGTGTGTGTATCCCGCATATACATGCATGTATGGAAGCAAGATGGCTTTTCGCGTTTCCACGTGGTGGTTCTAGGATTTGCACCGGGATTGTTTGCAGCATTGAACGCTGCATATAAATGTTCTAGTTGTCGAAATTGGTTGGTGAAAACTGAGTTTTCCCTGTGTTCCTTTGATAAAAGTTTTTGAACGCAGCAAATGCGGGAAGCGTACGGGAGAGTTATAAAGGGAAAGGAAGATCTTTTTTGATGCAATGTTTGTTGTGAGTGTCGAAGAGAGGGAGAGAGGGAGAGAGGGAGAGAGGGAGAGAATTCCACTTATGCCGAACAATCTCAGATCGTCCCAACGTCTCGGATCAACGTCTCGGATCTCCACAGCACCTTGGCCTAAGGCAGTTGGATCGTTGGCACGGGAGATGGCTCAGGAGCTGCTCAGAGGTATGGAGGGAGCCGGGGTGCTTAGGTTGGCAGGCTGCAAGATGCAGATGGGTAAAAACCTTCAACACCTATTAGACAACTCTCTCGAAAAATGCGCGTTCCACAAGTGTTGTGGCTTGTCAGCAGTGTTTTCTTTGTTGAAAGACGTGGTTGGCATCGCGTGAAACAAAGGACTTCCAGGATAAACCTGCTGGAACTGAGGCTATGGATGATCCCCTAGATGAAGACATGCCTGGCGACTCAGCTCCCTCAAGAGATGACCACGTGAAGGCTGGAGGGTCAAAGGCATGGCGAAACCATTCCAGTGCCACTGGTGCATGGGTGCCCAAGGCTGCGGGGACACCTGGTAACATATACGCTGGACCTATCAAGAGGTCCCGTGTTTTTGCTGAAATTGTGTCGGAATTTACGGAAAGGCTCAAATCAACAAACGATTTGCAGATGTGAGTCTCTGGCAAGGCGGTCGCGAAAGCCTTGGCCAAGGGCAAGAACCGAGAAAGACCCAAAGAGGAAGTGAAGGAGGAAGAGTCACTCGGCTTAGAGCCGTGCCCAAGCAGTTGTTCCGAAGATATGAAGAGATCCAGCGTCTTTGAACAGCGTGGCGTCCAGAATGTTTTCAAAATCGGTGTTGTAGTTGGTCAGTGCCAAGGAAATTGCCACAGCAAGAGGGCGAAAAGGTGGTCGAAGAGATGTCGACCTTGGATGCTTTGGACTGCTTGGGTTTGTGCCCCGCGAACTTTGAATGGTTCGAGCTCAATGTGTCTTGGACTTCGGGTGAGTGCATTTGGGGTGAGCTCAACTGTTTTGGGTCATAGCGAACATGGCAGCAGAGCCTTCCAGCCAGTCAGCTCTTGTTTTGGATGTGACCCACAGGAACGCATCTACCCACAGACTTAGAGAGGATCCGTCTTCGGTACAAAGTTGTGACACTTAGATGTTCCACTTAGATGTTCCACTTAGAAGTTGTCTTAGGATCTCTTCTCATCTTAGGATGTTCCACTTAGAAAGCTTCAGAGTTCTCATCTGGTCTGTGACAGGTTGCGAACCCACCAGATGAGAACTGCGGCATTTGCCACTACAAACTGGCCGATGGCTACCGCTGTGGCGGGGGTACGCACTATGTGTGCATGGGCTGCATCGATGCCTACAAGACAAGCTACACCAGATGAGCCGATCTGACTGAACTGCTTGCGAAAGCCTTGTTCAAAACCAATGATCTCGTACAGCCGAGTGGGTCAAGCAGACCAGACATATTGTTGTTGAAGTCCTCGAGAGTTGTTTTGTTTGTTTTTTTTAGGCCACGGCTCGTGATCGTGTGTAAATAGATATGATTGGTTGGTGTGCTGACGGCAGGGTTGTGGGCAGTGTTGGAGGTTGCTTTTTGGTTGTAGTTCTGGCACACCATCTCCTCTGTAGAGACGAATCCGAATGGATGTGCTGAGTGCGATGGGACAGCTAGCCAGTGGAAACTGCTGAAGCAGCTTTGGTGGAAGAAATTTGGTCCATAACGCAGAGGGAGCAGGTCAAACTGTGAATGAGAGTGGTCTTTTCAGTGCATGGTTTGGTGGGTGTTCCTTTTGATGGTGCTGTTTGGAGTGCTTCAAGACTCAGCAACTGGGTGGAACTCGGAGACTGAATCGAAGTGGAAGGAGAAGTGGTCATTTGGCTCAGGCTATGAAACAAAAGATCCAGACCGTAAGCTTTGGTCCCAACAGGTTTCGTTTGGGGCAGATTCTTCCTATGCAGCTCAGCCAGAGAGCTTCAGCACTTGGCCATGGACCTGCCAGACTTACGCCGATGCAGCAAAGTGAGCTCCCATCTGAAAGCGAGACACTGGACTCTATACCTGCAGATTGACCTGTGTAACATTAATTAAAGGCATGTACGTACGCACAGTATACATGCACATATATGTATATATATATATTTTATGTACACATCCATTCTGGGTCTCTTTGTTATTGTTTTCCTCCGAGCTGGCATGGCACTCGTGTGTGCACGCGGAAAACGCCTCGCTTGTAATTACACACGGACAACGACTCGTTTGTACGCGCGCATGTTGGAAGATTCGGACACCTTCACCATAGTGGCTCCACCCACACACCCTCCCAATTGTCGTGTCTGCCTTGAAAACAAGACCAAATGCAGATCTTCAAGGCGTCAGGTCTTCCAAGGCTTCAGGCTTTCGATCTCAAACACGAAGGTGCCCTGGTGTGACCATTCCACCATAGCATTTCTCTTGTGAGGCGCCCGAGGGCAAACTTTTCAGGAGGAAAGAACCATTCCAACACTTAACAAAGCCCAACGTAGCCGTAGCATACCTTCTGTGAGCCACATGAGGGTGGAGTGCTGGAGCGGGAAAGAACGTGTCATCCCTTACGGGTTGGTTCATGAGGAGCCTAGTGAAGAAGCTACTAGGTGGAGGCCATCGCTATTAGGGTGGAGGCCAGTACTACTAGGAAAAAGAAGCTACTAGGTGGAGACCATCGCTACTAGGGTCGAGGCCAGTACTACTACGAACAAGAGGCCAGTACTACTACGAACAAGAAGCTACTAGGTTGGAGGCCATCGCTACTAGGGTGGAGGCCATTACTACCAGGAACAAGAAGCTACAAGGTTGGAGGCCATCGCTACTAGGTTGGAGGCCATCACTACTAGGAACAAGAAGCTACTAGGTTGGAGGCCATCGCTACCAGGCTGGAGGCCATTACTACTAGGAACAAGAAACTACTAGGTTGAAGGCGGCCATCGCTACTAGGGTGGAGGCCAAGACCACTAGGAACAAGAAACTTCTAGTAACAAAGGGCATCGCTGCTAGGGTGGAGGCCATCATATACTACTAGGAACAAGCAGCTTCTAGGTGGAGGCCATCGCTACTAGGGTGGAGGCCATTACTGCTAGAGGGCATCGCTACTGGAGGCCATCGCTACTAAGGTGGAGGCTATTGTAACTAGACGCTACTAGCTGAGGCAATCGCTGCTAGGGTGGAGGCCATCACTACTAGGAACAAGAAGCTATTAGGTTGGAGGCCACCGCTACTAGCGTGGAGGCAAATACTACTAGGAACGAAGCTACTACAGTAGATGGACCAAATATTCAAACCCCTCAGTCGATGACTGTCACCAACCCCCGACCCCCAAAGGTCAATGTTGAACATGACTTCATTGAACTTGTGTTGCCAGCGTTTGATTTGTTTCGCCCATTCGCAGAAACACTTCGGCAGGGTGACTAACTTTGAGCTTTGGGGTAGAAGGAGTCCAAGCGGCTTGAAGGGTTTGAATATTTCGTCCACCTACGGTAGTAACAAAGGGCATTGCTACTAGGGTGGAGGCCACTACCACCAGGAACAAGAAGCTACGAGATGGAGGCCGTTGCTACTGGGGTGGAGGCCATTACTACTATATAGTAACAATAAGCTACTAGGTGGAGGCCATTGCTACGAGGAACAAGAAGCTACTAGGTTCGAGGTTGTCGCTAGTAGGTGTAGGCCATTGCTACTAGGGTGGAGGCCATCAGTACTAGGAGCAAGAAGCTACTAGGTGGAGGCCACTACTACCACTACTCCCACTACCACTACCACTCCTCCTCCTCCTACTACTACTAGTACTTTTTCTACTAGGAGCAAGAAGCTGCTAGGTTGGAGGCCATCGCTCCTAGGGTGGAGGCCATCAGTACTAGGAACCAGAAGCTAATAGTTTGGAGGCCGTCAAGGTCATTACTACTAGGAACAAGACATTACCGGTAACAAACAGAATCGCTGCTAGGGCCAGGTGGAAGCCATTACTAATAGAAGCAAGAAGCTGCTAGGTGAAGGCCACCACTCCTGGGGTGGAGGCCGTTACTACTAGGAACAAGAAGCTACTAGGTGGAGGCCATTACTACTAGGAACACGAAACTACTCTTGGTTGGGGGCCATCGCTACTAGGGTGGAGGCCACTACTAGTAGGAACAAGAAGCTACTAGGTTGGAGGCCGTCGATAGTAGGGTGGAAACCTCTACCGTTAGGAACAAGAGGCTGCTAGGCAGGAAGCCACCGCTAAAAGAGTTGAGGCCATTACTACTATGAACAAGAAGCTACTAGGTTGGAGGCCATCGCTAGTAGGTGGAGGCCATTGCCACTAGGAACAAGAAGTTTCTAGGAGGCCATCGCTACGAGGGTGGAGTAGGTGGAGGCCATCGCTTCTAGGGTGGAAGCTATTACTCCTAGGAACAAGAAGCTACTAGTGACAAAGGGCACCGCTACTAGGGTGGAGGCCATGGCCACTAGGTATAGCAAGAAGCTATTAGGTTGGGGGCCATCGCTACTAGGGTGGAGGCCATTACTACTAGGAACAAGAAGTTGCTAGGCTGGGGGCCATCGCCCCTGTGATGAAGACCAGTACTACTAGGAACAAGAAACCACCAGGTGGAGGCCATCGCTGCTAGGGTGGAGGCCGTTACAACTAGGAACCAGAAGCTACAAGGTTGGAGGCCATCGCTACTAGGGTGGAGGCCATTACTCCTAGGAATTCAATGCTACTAGCAACAAAGGGCGCCGCTACTAGGGTGGAAAACATTACGGCTAGGAACCAGAATCTGCCAGGTTGGAGGCCATCGCTACCAGGGTGGAGACCATTACCACTAGGAACGAGAAGCTGCTAGTAACAAAGGGCATCGCTACTAAGATTTCGGATCTTCGGTGCGAATCAGACCACTTGGGACTTCTCTTGGTGCGGGGATGATTCATCCGTCGGTTTGGCCGCGGCCATCACTGGCTTCAGGTGCTGTTCTTTGATTCTTTGATGTACCACTGTATGACATATCACTTGTTGCAAGCTATGGGCAACCAGGAGCTCAGAGGCAATATGTGTCGCAAAATCTTAGTTGCCACAAGCCCAGGCAGTAAAATACACATCCTCCGAACAGCTGTCATCACACCACCTGCGTGTGGCATGGCAGACTGACCTCCGATGTCGGCACCATTCAGAGCAAGGAGAAAGATGCAGGTGCCGCCCTTGGACATTTGGCACCGCCCTAGAGAACGAGTACATGGTGCTTGACTACTGCAACAAAAACTTAGAAAGTCACATTCTCCCAAACTTTGTGGCCCCCACCTTGCGGCGAGCTTGTTTGAAGGGGTGTTGGCCATGTGACTTCGTTGTTTGTTTGGCCAAAGTTTCAGAACACATGACCACATCCTCCAAGGCTCCTCGCTGCGCATGGCTAGCTCTGCCGATGCTCCTAGCCGCTGCGATGGGTCAAGCTGCTTGCTTGCAATAATGGGCTCTTCTTTATTCGCTTCAAAGCCCCAGTTTTCACAGATAGCGGTAGCTATGGGGTTCTTACTTTAGGTATGGTATGAATTGGCTGTGCGGGCTTTGGGCACAAGGTGTTGGTGCCGTCCATGCAGGTGCTGTTGATGGGTTTGTTGACAGGGTGTTGGCTGGTCCAAGGGTTTTGGAACTGTGTGGACGCTTTGGAGACAAGGCGTTCGTGCCGTCGGTGAGGTGCTGTTCTGGGTGTCTTGGGGAGTGCGTAGGTGCTTTGGAGACAGGGTGTCAGTGCAGTGCATGTGTCGGCTATTGACGACCTAACGGCCTTGCTTTGCAGCTGCTTGACTTTTCTAGATCGTGTTTGTGAAAGGCACGAGTATTTTGCTTGCGCACATGCCTTTGTAGGCATTGGATTTATCAGCTTTGCACAGATCGACAAGACCATTCTCGGTAGAAACTTGACCATCAAACAATTTGTTGGTAAGCCCGATCCCTTTTTCTGGACATTTTGTTGAGCCATTCTATCTGGGGTCTATGCTGGCGTTATTTTGTCGGACACATGGCTTGCTGCTCCAAATGTCAAAAAACACATGGATCGGCATCCAGCTTGTTTGTTAGGTAGCAGTTGGGGAATTCAATAACATTTTAGTGCTTCTGACAGCAGGGAGTGCACGAACAGCCATGAAAGATGTTCGGAATGTTCGTGTGGCTTGATGAGGTAATGTTTCAAAGCTGTGAATCATACCTTGTTGTTGGGTTGGCCCGCAAGAAGCCTTGAGCAGGACTTGTATTCTTGTTTTGCACACCCTCCCATGTTGACCTTTGAGACCAGCAAAGTCTCTTCAACTTATGATGGCCTTGGCCCCCTGTTCTTAACAATGTTCCATCGTCCACCGTTGGACAGTTCAGCACTGCGC